ACATGAAAAGATGTCCAACATCACTCATCATCAGGGAAATACAAATCAAAACCACAATGAGATACTACCACACACCTGTCAGAATGGCTAAAATTAACAACTCAGGTGATAACTGATGTTGGCGAGGATGCAGAGAAAGAGGAACCCTTTCACACTGCTGGTGGGAAAGCAAACTGGTACAACCACTCTAGAAAACAGTATGGAGGTTCCTCAAAAACTTAAAAATAGAACTACCTATGACTCAGGTATTTACCCAACAGACACAGGACTGCTGATTCGAAGGGGCACATGCACCCCAGTGTTTATGGCAGCACTATCAACAATAGCCAGAGTATGGAAAGAGCCCAAATGTACATCGACTAATAACTGGATAATGAAGATGTAGTGTGTATACATATAGTGAAATATTAGTCAGCAATCAAGAAGAATGAAATCCTGCCATTTGCAACAACATGGATGGAACCAGAGTATATTATGCTAAGTGAAATAAGTCTATCAGAGAAAGATAAATATCATATGATTTCACTCATATGTGGAACTTAAAAAAATAAAACAGAGGGGAAGGGAAGGAAAAATAAGATAAAAACAGAGAGGGAGACAAACCATAAGGGACTCTTAAGTAGAGAGAACAAACTGAGGTTTGCTTGAGGGGTGTTGTGTGGCAGGATGAGCTAAATGGGCGATTACCATGAAGGAGGGCATTTGTTGGGATGAACATTTGGTGTTACATGTAAGTGATGAATAACTAAATTGTATTCTTGAAATCATTAATACACTATATATTAACTAACGTATTTTTTTAATTAAAAAAAATGTTAAAAAAAAAAGATAACAAAAAATTTCTTCAGGGGGTATCTGGGTGGCTCAGTCGATTAAGTGTCTGACTCTTGATTTCAGCTCAGGTCATGATCTCACTGTTGGCAGATCAAGCCTCAGGTTGGGCTCTGCACTGAGCATGGAGCCTGTCTGGGTTTCTCTGCCTCTATCTCTCTCTGCTCCTCCATGCCCCCGTCCCCCACCACCAAATGTACGTGTGTGTGTGTGTGTGTGTGTGTGTGTGTGTGTATGTGCTCTTGCTCTCTCAAAATTAATAAGTAAACATTAAAAAAATTCTTCAGATAAGTTTAAAGAGGCATACAAAGTTTATAGTATTTTGCTAGGATATTTCAGAGAATTTCAAAATCACTCAATACACACAGATATTAGATACTCAGTTTTCATCTGAGAGAACTTCCCAGTTTACTAGCACAGGGAGCTAAACAAAATCATAAAGCCACAGTCCTATGGCTTGAGGAGTAGGAGGATGGAGCTTTGAGCCAACAGTAACTAGAAAGAGAGGAACAAAGTCCTGGAGCAGATGGAGCCACAGAGGCAGAAAAAACATTACTGAAACCCTGGGCTGAACCCTGAACTGTATGTGAGAGACTCCAAATAGCACAGTAGACAGCAACAGCTTAAAGAATGAAAGAAGCAGTGATTTCAATTGCTGCCCACTACAGGAGAGACAAGATTTTGAAATCTGAATCTAATCAAATTAACAATGTCTATTAAAAAATATTCTTCAATGAAAAATTTTTAAAAAGCCAATGCTCTTCAGAAGAATACAAAAGAATCCAAAGTCTTTAAAATGTATTATCCACATACCTAGGATACAATAAAAATGACTGGACCCATTTAAAAAAAGTGAAAAATACATAGCCCCTAGTCAAGTAACAAAGCAGACAATAGAAAAAAATGAGCCAAATCCAAATTAGTAAACAAGAATCTGAAAGAGTTTATAACAAATAAGCTATTAAAGAACATATTATCATAATGAATGAATGTATGGATATTCAAAATAGCAAAACTGAAATGGAAATTCTAGGTACAATATATGAAATGAAAAATACACTGATGAGTTGAACAAAAGATAGTTGAAGAAACAATGAACATGACCATAGATCAATAGAAACTATATAATATAAAGAGGAAAAAGAAAAGGAACCTATGGACCAGGGACGTATGGAAAATATCGAACACTGGTATGAGTGAAGTCTCAGAAGGAGAGAGGAGAGAAAATGGGGCAGAAAACAATATTTCAAGAAAACAATGGGTGAAATTTTCCCAAATTTATTGAAAACTGTTATTTTCTAGATACCTATGAAGTCCAGCAATCCCTAGGCAAGATAAATATAAAGAAAATTGCACCAAGACACACTGAAGTCAAACTGCTAAAAATCAAAGATACAATCTTAAAAGCAGATGTGAATAACAGTGACATAACACTGATAAATAAGAATGACTGTATGATGATAATTTCCAATCAGAAAAACTAGCCAAAAGACAAATGGAACATCCTTAAAGTGCTGAAAGGGGAAAAAAAAAGTCAAAAATGAAGGTTTATTTTTAATGTTTATTTATTTTTGAGAGAAAGAGACAGAGTGTGAGTGGGGGAGGGGCAGAGAGAGGAGACAGAATTGAAAGCAGGCTCTGAGTTGTCAGCACAGAGCCCAACGTAGGGCTCGAACTCACGAGCAGTGAGATCATGACCTGAGCTGAAGTTGATGAGCTGATATGTTCATGGGTTCGAGCCCCGCATCAGGCTCTGTGCTGACAATGTGGAACCTGTTTGGGATTCTCTCTCTTTCTGTCATTCTCTTAAACTTAAAAAATTCTTGGGGCACCTGGGTGGCTCACTCAGTTGGGCGTCTAACTCTTGATTGTAGCTCAGGTCATGATCTCACAGTTCATTAGTTCCAGCCCCGCACTGGTCTCTGTGCTGACAGCATGGAGCCTGCTTGGGATTCTCTCTCTCCCTCTCTCATGCCATTCCCTGCTTACTCTCTCAAAAATAAACATTTAAAAAAATTCTTCTAATAAAAAAGAGATTAACAACGTTAGCTGTAGACAAAACAAAGCACTTATATACTGCTGGTGGAAATGGAAATTGGTACAGCCACTATGGAAAATAGCAAGGAGGGTCCTCAAGAAATTAAAAATAGTTTTTCACAATAGGTTTGCCACCAGAACAGAGGGTGTCATGAAACCACTGCTAAATCTAAGCCAAAATGGATAAGGAAAAGGCTCAATCCAACACCATTATCATTAGACATGTAGATTTGGGCACGTTTACCACCCTTGGCAATCTTATCTAAAATGTGGTGGGATCAATATAAGAACCATTACAATATTTGAGAAGAAACCTGCTGAGATGAGAAAGAGCTCCTTCAAGTATGCCTGGATCTTGGCAACAGGCACATGAAAAGATGCTCAACATCACTCCTCATCAGGGAAATATAAATCAAAACCACACTGAGATACCACCTCAAGCCAGTCAGAGTGGCGAAAATGAACAAATCAGACTATAGATGCTGGCGAGGATGTGGATAAACGGGAACCCTCTTGCACTGTTGGTGGGAATGCAAACTGGTGCAGCTGCTCTGGAAAACCAGCGTGGAGGTTCCTCAAAAAATTAAAAATAGATCTACCCTGTGACCCAGCAATAGCACTGCTAGGAATTTACCGAAGGGATATAGCAGTGCTGATACATAGGGGCACATGTACCCCAATGTTTATAGCAGCACTTTCAACAATAGTCAAATTATGGAAAGAGCTTAAATGTCCATCAACTGATGAATGGATAAAGAAATTGTGGTTTATATACACAATGGAGTACTACGTGGCAATGAGAAAGAATGAAATATGGCCCTTTGTAGCAACGTGGATGGAACTGGAGAGTGTGATGCTAAGTGAAATAAGTCATACAGAGAAAGACAGATACCATATGTTTTCACTCTCATGTGGATCCTGAGAAACTTAACAGAAGACCATGGGGGAGGGGAAGGAAAA